CCCGCCAGGCGCTCGCCGGGGAGGTTTGCGGGTTAGTGCAGATAAAGCCGACTCGGCGGGATTCGCTCTCGTGCCGCTCATCTGGAAAGAATCAAATAAATGTAATAGAATGTCGTTCTGGCCCGGGCAGGCGACGTGTTGCGACTGTTCACCAGGCTGCCCCGTGGCTTGTCCCTGAGCAAGTTGATGGCTCTGCATCAACAGCAAGTGACATTTTTCATCATGTAAAAATGTGGCTTGACTTTCTGTTTCTTTGAGCAGCTGTAACCTTCGAGGACAGACTTGAGTTTGTAGCAAGTGTGCTGTTCAGTCAGATGTTGCCTTCACAGCATGACAGCCGTCGTCCTATCCGTGCATCCATCTAATTGAGTCTGGCACGTAGCCTTCAGGAACAGTACGAGCCGTATGAAGCCATCCATTCATCCAACCGAATCAGGTGTAGCCTTCAGGCCCAGTCCGAAATTGAATTTCCTCACGCAGCCGACTGATAGTTCCAAATCTCCGTGTTGTTTCCATCCATCCATCCAATACAATCGACTCCAGTGTTGCCTTCAGGGGCAGTCCGAATTCATAACTTCCATCTCTGTACCCACGCCGTCCCTCCTGACTTTGCCAACTTTATGGGCGCAGGTGTGTGCGTGTGTGTCGTCCAGACAAATGACGAGGAGCCAGATGTCCAGAATGCCGACGACGCCCCGCAACCTGGACAAGATGGCTGACAACCCACAGGCAGAAGCTGGCAAGCTCTCAGGTGTGCCATTTCATGAGATCTAGTAAAAAATCTCTGCCTTTTTCGGGTATAAAAAGAAAGTGATACATCCTATTATCGTTGCAATTTGCAGTGGGCTGCTGTTCCTTTTCTTTTGGTGGCCTCGTTTAGCATACTTGAAAAGAGCAAAACATTAAAAACACCTTTCAAGGTGTAATTCGATGTTATGGGAAAATACTCCAGATGAATGCAAATTCTGGATACAGTCATGCAATCATCTGCAGAGTCGTTGGAATTCCAGTGTAAATCAATTATTTTGTTATTATGAGTGAAAAAACATTTAAAGACTTGCAAGACTGTATGATAACTTGCTTGAAATTTTGCGGCAACTTGAATGGACTTTCTTTTCGCCGGTAACTTGGGACTCGCATGAAACATAAAGGTGACGACTTGAGACCTTGTGACATGCACGTATGTGACGCTCTGCCACCTCTCTTACCTAACACAACGTAGACTTCATCAAGTGGCGATGTGCTGATATCATTCGTCTTCACAAGGAGTCACTTGGGCAAACGTCTTCTCCCACACACACACACACACACACACACACACACACACACACACACACACACACACACACACACACACACACGGACCCCACA